CAGGCTCAGGGTGCTCTCCTTGACAGCTAATGTGGTATAATTGTAAGTGTATTGACCTAGAACTAGAAAAGCTCAGGCCCACCCTTCCATTCATCTGTTAAGCTCACTGGGTCATTTTGAGCCACTCACTGTCTCTCAGCTTCATCTATCTCACTGGGCTATTGTGAGGATAAAGGAGGATGTTTATCACCTTTAACTCCCTGGGGGAAAGGTGAAATATACTGTAAATGTAACAAATATACAGTAATCCATAAAAGCAGGGATGTGAAGACTGATGAGGATATAGAACTCACTTTTATTTTTTTTCTTTCCTACCCACCTCAACTAAATCAAAATTAACCACCATAAAAAATGCACACTGCATGGATATATACTTCTGATGTTTTAGAGACTTCTGCATGCAGTACGGATAATATAGATGGCCAGCTTGCAAAAATGTTCTTCACCCGCAAATGCATTCATAGTATTAGTTGCAATCTTTGCCCAAGGATACGGCCTCTAACATGAGTCTTTGTTGCACCGGTTGCCATCTATAACTATTTAGGACAAACTATAACTATTTAGGACATTAGTGATGCACTTTTGGGCAGGTATACCCAAAGTTTAACACAAATAATGTGTAGAGAGTGTGTGCATTTGTTCCAGAGATGTGGGTAGAAAAAGAGAAAGTAGACTTTTAGTTAAGTCTTTGCAGAAGCCTTAATTAAACATTAAAATCAACCAAAGGCCTACGGTACAGATGGCATGTGTGCACACTTTTGCTGGCTGCCTCCTTCCACAGTTACTCACACGCCCTGTGAATATAATTTTTAATAAAGCTAAAACCATAACCACTCCCTCTGCAAGTAAAATATTGCATGGTGCAACTGAAGAGTCATTTGCTGGAGCCCTGTGCCATGGCTAAGATACTATGATTATGGTGACTGTGTAACAGCCCTTTCAGACAGAGTACATGTCTGGGGAGTGGGAGCATTTCAAAGACTGGAGAAATCTAAGTCAGCATGTGTGAACAACACCAACAACACTTCCAGTTTTAGTCAGCTATGAGCACAAGCGTGGCATAAAAGATCAGCACGGGAAGAAAATGACATTTTGGACAGCTCTTTCTTCCTGTGATACAGAGAAACCGAAGCCATTGAAAGTAGCTTTGAATGCTATAAGGCACACCAACAAGTAGATGCAAGAGTAGAGAGAAAAGCTTTCAGTCCAAAGCTTTTAAGATTTGATCCATAATGCCATGTCATATGGGCCTGTTCAGCATTCAGTCCCACCAAGTTCAGTGAGGCTTTCTCCCATAAAAATAGGCACTGGATTAAAGAATGACATGAATTTCATTCTGCCTTCGCTTCTTGACACAAAACAGTGAAAAGGCATTGATCAATCCTTCTTCCCAATGAAACTGTGATTCCTAGAGAAGCTAAGGAAATAATAACCCAGACAAAAATAGGCACTGGATTAAAGAATGACATTCAATAGCTTGAATTCATTCTGCGTTCGCTTCTTGACACAAAACAGGGAAATAGCATTGATCAATCCTTCTTCCCAAAGAAACTGTGATTCCTAGTGAAGCTAAGAAAATAATAACCCAGAGTGCTGTTTTTACCCTAAGGGAGCCCAACTTGGCATCCTCTACATGTACTATACTGCAAGTCTCATTGTCCTCAGTCAGTATAAACACTTGCATGCTGGTTGGGGATGATGAGAATTGTAGTCCAACTGATCTGGAAGACAACAGGTCAGACAAAGGTCCCTTGTGGATGATTAGTTCTCAGATGTCCTCAGGGTGTCATTCCCTATAATTGTATAATTGTATATAAAGGTGGTACATTCTATGTCTTTAATGGCCACTACTTTCATGCCTTTATCAGCCTGCTGACACACAGAAATCAAGTAGGTGAGCTTTTCCCGGCATGGAGGTAAAAGAACATAATACTATTATAAATTATTGTATAAGTCCTTGTTGTACTGCGTGACAGAGCTAGCTAGAATGAAAATAACTTAATTTCCTACTGAGCAGATCATATAACAATATAACAACTTTGCACATGCCACCATTTTTGTCACCTAGGACTTAGTTTTGCAACCTCTTGGTCCCCAAAGGAAAATGTCCATCTGCAAGCACAGTTGCCTCTACTTCATGCAATAGTTTTTTTTAAATTATTATTCTTGCTCCACAGCCTTGGAATAAAATAATCTGCTGTGCAAGGCTATATGTAAGAATTTTGTGGTGTATGGCAAACTCGCTGAATACTTTTTAAAGCAATGTAAACTAATCAAGCTTCCATGTACTCTGCAAATATATATCCTTCAATATTATACAAAAGAGTTTAAATACTTAGCACTATGGCATAATGTCTACAGCATGGGTAGCCCATCGCTTTGGCAAGCACCCCCCTCACATCAAGTCTGAAAACACTATTCTAGTACACAGGAAGACTCTCAACAACTTGCTGTGGTTCTGGATTTGGCCTACAGGGCCAAGAGCCACCAAATCAGGAAGGGAGCAACTGTGAGAACAATTCTGCCTCGCACTGTTCTATTGACCAGCTTAGTAGACTTCTTCCTCTGGTCCAGATGACCAAAGAATTCCACTAGCTATAATGCTGATGATGTGTACACCACAGGCTGGCGACACCAGTCCACTCATCTCCATGTACAGTGTAGAATGATGTTGAAATATTCTTGGGCAAGACCCTGTGTCTCAGCCTAACCTATATTGATTGCATGGCTGTGGTGACCCTAAAAATACCATATTGTGGCTTGCGCAAGACAAGGAAGAATAAACATGTAGCAATGTTTAAGAAAATGTATATTCAATGCTGGAATGTGCCACGGAGAAGGCCAGTCAGTCCTTTCAGAGTGGGCTTGTGAAATATGGCACTGTGTTACAACAGCTGCTGCACAAAATTAGCAGTGATTTCTAGAATGTTTAAATAGTTATAAGGGAATAGTGGGCAGGGGTTCAGGCAGCAGGCAACAATGGCTGGACAGAGTGTCAATAACATTTCATTAGCTTTTTTATCTAATAATATTACCTTTTGATAGATTTACTTATAAACACATATATCCTCTGTTAACTACATACTTGGTTATTCTGTTTCCTGCCCCCCCAAGCCCCACGACCTCTTTAGCCAAAGTCACTCACATCTCATTGGGGGGCAAACAGCAGTCTTTCATCTTCACATCACCATCACCCTTAAACAGGATGAAAGGTAAGCAGTAAAGTGACCCATTTCCTCCCCAATGACTGGGCCTTGCCACCACTACTACAGGCATTCAAATCCCAACACAGATCAGACAAGGAAGACAGATTGCACGCACACCTACATACACAAAGGCAGAGGCAAACACTAACCCGGCTTTGTCCCTTTCTAGCAATTTACACACCACAGAAGTTGAGAACCTACAAGGATTCTACATTTCCATCTATTATTGATGACACGGCAAGCAAGTGGCGGGGTGGCGGCGAAGGAAAAGGATGCAGACAAGCACTAGAGTTTAACATCTTAGCAATCATTAGTTGGGATTCAGCCCCAAGAGTAACCCCACCATTGTGTTTACATCCTTTTTGTCAAAGCTATTTTCCCCCCAAATAAACCCATGGAACACACAGGCAGGGAAACAAATATGCAGAGTATCAACAGGGAGCTTACATGTTACAGATCTATGGATACAGATCTATGGGTTGTATTCTGTTCCCTAGCCTGACACTTCCAGCAAATGGGCCTGGAGGATGTTCAATGAAGGAAAAGCTTGATCCCAATCCACAGGCCCAGTTCTGAACTGCTGTTACATACACATTTATTTGACAGTTAGCACTACATTTTAGGGCACTTTATTTTCAGAAAGAGGGAAAATATGGTCCTATAAGGGTAGTGGATGAAAGGTGAGGTTGGGATATTGGGGAAGAGATGGGCAGGTTTTCCATTAACACTGGAGAGCTCCGAAGTAGCATCTACCGACACTCGGATGGCCCCTCCCCACCTTTTGGTCTTTTGCAGCTGAAGATCTAGGCTTGTGAGGGCTACCAAGTGACCCCTTTTATCAGCACCCATGTACGTAGTAGAACCATTTTGGCGAGTCAAGGCATGCAATGATCTGCACTTGCCAAATTCCTAGTGCTGAAATGGACCCTTGGCATCTCCCTCCATGCTTCAATACCTGCACCTCTGTTTTTTTGTTTTTAAAAAAAGGTTTAAAAGAATATAGATTGTGGGGGGGGGGGCGAGAGAGAAGGGACCCACCCCAATGGAGAATTCCTGCAGGTGGTTGATGGCACAAGGCACAGGCTACAAAGTCCCAGAGTGGCTCAGCTGGGCTCTGCTTGAACCAGGTGGGGGCAGCATGGCCTTTTAAAGGCTCCGGCTAAGGAAACCCCACCCCAGCAGACCCTCCCAAAATAGGATAGCTTTTTTTAAAAAATAGCCCAAAGGAATTCCTCACAAGATGCCAATTATTATTTTTTTCCTTTTAAATGAAACTGCATCTCCAAATCCTTATTTCCAAAACACATGAAGACATATATATCTACGAACATGAATGGCTTGTTTCCCCCTCCGATCCTTGGCTTTCCTTGCCTTCTTCCAGGCGGATACTTTGGGGTGGGAGGGGGGAAGGAAGAGACAAAGCAGGGCAATAAACAGCATCTCCTAGTAGAAGTTATGTCAGGAGTGAGGGAAAAAAGCCTGTGGCGGCAGGGAATGGGTCAGGCAATAAGGCCCCTGAGCGGGATCCCTGAGCAAGCAGCAAGGAAGCAAGCAAGCAAACAGGAGAGCCCCTGTCCCTCCTCTCTCGGTCGGTCCCTCTCTCTCTCCCCCCTCCTCCTCCCCCTTGCACCATTCATAAAAGTCTGCCTCAGCACCAGGGCATCCTCTTGCTGTCACTGACAGGAACAGACTCCCCCACCCTCCAGCAGCGAGGAGGGAGTGAATGAACGAGGGAGGGAAGGAAGGAAGGA